GCCCGGGGGGGGGGGGGGGTTCACTCAACCCCTGCGAGCTGTGGGGAGAGGGGGTGCCGAGGGCGGTGCGTTGTGCTGCGAACTCGGTTCCTCTGGACCGCGTTTTCCCGTCTTCAGCGTTACTACGCTGGGGTAAGAGAAGAGCATGCCTGGGTGAAGATACGGCTTTCCCTCATGGCGCTGATTATCTCGTGAGGCTTAATGAAGCAGCACTAAAAACCGTGTTTGGGAGGAAAGCGCTCATGCAGCGGGGAGCAGGTGATGCTCAGGGGAAGCAAAGGAGCGAGCCGCCTTTGCTTCGGAGGCAATAGTGCTGTTTTAATTCCAGTTTTGTATTGAAAACCGCTGATGCCACTAGGTGAAATCAGCGATATGGGTTACCAGTTCAGTTAGGTGTCACTGATGTTACTTTTTTAATTGGTAAGAATTCGTATTCTAGTGAAGCAGATTATTAAAAATGAACTATTGCCTCTAACTCAAAAGGCGTGGTATGCAGCCTCTTAAACAGGGCACTTGTGCACTTGTTTGCTGGTCGGCACAAAGCAGCCCAATTTGCTGCTGACTGCTTAATGACATTAAGTGACAGCTGTCAGCTCAAGATAGAAACGGGTCATTTGCTGAGTAACCAAATAGGTAGAGCAGAGCAGCCCGTCAAAATTACAGAAGGAATTTCTCAGAAGTGACTCGGTTAACGGAATTCTGCTCTGCATGCTTTTCTTACCTGAGCTTTAAAGGTTAAAACCATTAAAAGCAAAACAAAGGTGAAGTTTTGGGTCAGTCTGTTTGGTGGCTTCCCCGGTGGGTTAGGTCCTTTTTGCACAGCCGAAATACATCATGTCACAGGAAGAGAGTGACTCAATTTGAAATACAATCTTATTCTTGAAAAACGGAGTATTTCTCCTGGTTGTAGTCCTCAGCAGATTTGTCTAGTGGTATAGTCATTTCTTTCATTTTAGAAATAACTCTTTGTTGACAGATGTAAGGCTTTAGAAATTAAAAGAGGAAATCGGACTAATGAACTCAAAATGAAGGGAAAGTATGAAGCGGGCTGCATAAAGTGGTTTCGAATGTAGGGTGTCTGTGTCATCTGAAGACATTTTTGCCTTACAGGTACCAAATAATTTTGGTCATTTGTGGTCGTTTGTTGTATATATGCTAATTCTAGTGAGATAATACCTGTTAAAAAGGGGGTTCCACGGCAGGATAAGCTATAGGAAAGAGATTTTTGCTTTCGGTTTGCTTGTTTTAATTGAGGTAATTAGCCAAATTTTATTTGATCTAGGTTTTGAAACACTTGCATTAATAATCTCATGTACTATTTAAACCAGAAAGTTCACAAGGGTGGAACAGAATTATGTTTTTCTTGGTAGTTACCTGGTAGTAAGTCCTGAAGCAAATGCACTTCCTCCAGACAATTACCTATTTTATTTTTTTTCTGACGTGTGATTGCAACCATAAAAAAGAAATAGATTATCTGCAGAGTTTCGGGTTCAGCTGGAGCTCTTGAGTCCTTCATTTTCCTTGCCTTTAGTCTTTGTAATGTAAATTATCTCTAGCTCAAGAGTACGATGTCAGCCCTGGAGTTTAAGATTAGAAATTCTTTAATGTCATGAGGCAGTCAGTCGTGCCAGTCATGAGGGATGCACTCTCTGATACTGGTGTCTAAGTGGCTGCTGTTGAATGCTGTTTCTACAGTACCTGTTTTGATTGCTTTTTCACCACTTCTGATTCTTAGGTGAGACATCTGTATATTTGTGATTTCCACAAGAACTTCATTCAAAGTGTCCGAAACAAAAGAAAGAGGAAGACAAGTGATGATGGAGGTGACTCTCCTGAGCATGAAACGGATGTCCCGGAGGTTCGTAGGTGCCAAGTGGGCGTAGGATGCTTTACCAATTTTGAGAATGTTGAATTTTGACTTGGATGTTTACATGTATCAGGAAATATTTAAATTTTAAATTGCAACTCCACTGAAACTGCTATGGAGTTACTCTCATTTTTCAGGAAGACTTTTTTCTGATGTGTAATGTCCTAATTTTCTTCTTCATCCCTGTACGAGTTCTTTGCCCGTGTAAAGTTTTCTCTAAAAAGAGGTATGATAAGGTAACTGCACAGCTTCATGTATGTACTGCTTCCAAACAGGGCACTGTTAAAACAGTATGTGATACTAATTCTTTTTTAAAGGTACAAATAAATTATTTTCAGTGGTGACTGAGGCCCTGATATGGTTCTTTGTTACCTAGCGTGCATCGTTTTGCAAATACACTAGAAAATCCAATAGGTCAGTCTCTCTATGTTTGGGTAGATGATATCCAGGGATATTAAGCTTCTCCGGACCTTCGCATATATGGTATTTTTGGCACTATTTAAAACTACCTTCAAATAATTCGTAACAACTTTTTATTTTCAGGAAATAGGCTTTTTCTTTTTTTTTTTTTTTTCTCTGTGTTACAGAAATCTAGAATAATCTCTGTGCCATTGTGTTCTGTATTTGCTTTGGTGATGTTTCTGGTACTGTTGACACTGCAAAAAGTTGTGCAGAGGTGATGTTCGTGGAGGAGCTGAGCTCTGGCCACGTCAGCAGAGCCCTCTGCTGGAAATGCCACCTGTATTGGCAAAAAGCATTTTATTACTGGAAAAAAATGCCACCAAGAATCGTTTTGCCAGCAAAGCTGTGTCTTGACTGCAAAGCTGTGTCCACACACCGCCTGTGTGGAGGTGTTGGAAGAGTAGGAAGTTTTTGGTTTGTTCTTTTTAAGGATACCTAACCTTTTGTTGTAGCTGTTTGTGTTTCCATTCTACAAGGTTCTCCATCAAAACTTTCCTATACAGGCTTTACATTAGTTGCCAGGACGATTGGTGAAGACCCAGCTGGCATCTAAAAATGTTAGTGCTGTAGAGCATGCAGGGTATTTGGTGGTTAAAAAGTGAGGGATGCACGTCACCTAACTGAATAGGGAGCTCTGCAGTGTGTCAGTTTTAATGTCATTTTCTTCTTGGTTTTCAGCAGAGATTTCTTTTGTCTTTGAAACATGGCATTTCCCACATGATCTTCATCTTCCTTCCTGTAACCTCCCCCACCACCACCCTTGCTTTTAAACTGTCCACTTCCCATTTAAGTATTTGAATTTCATTTCTTCTCTGTACTCTGTTTTATGTCACAAGCCATTTGTTCAGTGCCTGCTAAATTGATATTTCATGTGTGAGCTTTTTAAACCTTGTGGGAACAAAAGGTTCCCCTTTGCTTGGAGGTTGCAGAGGTGTAATTGAGAGCAGAAATTGGCCAGCAATTCTGTTGACAGCATGTGAACCAGAACAAAATTTTGTATTTCCCTGAGGCTATTTTGGTCCTTTAGCATTAGGAAATACAAAAAATACTTAGATTAGTCAGTACGGCAAGCCGATGTGGTTCTGAATGCAGGCAAGGAGCAGTCCCGTTGAGAAAGAAATAGTTATTTTTTGATAACTCTACATTTCTGCCTAATAGAAGCTAAAGGTAGTGCTCATCCCCCTCTTCTCTGCATCACTTCCAGGTTGACTTGTTCCAGCTCCAAGTGAACACTCTGCGACGTTACAAGAGACATTATAAGTTGCAGACTAGGCCTGGACTCAACAAGGCTCAGCTAGCAGAAGTAAGTGACAACAGAGGTAGTATCATCTCTGTTATTAAAAAATTTTATTTCTTCTGCTGAAGTGCACATTTCTTGGACACTAATACCTGTAGTACTCTCTCGCTAGTGTGTACTGTGTGCTCTGCAAACGGTTTCGGGGGATGACATCAACAGAAAGCTGCGTGCTTTCTTTCACCTGAGACAGTCATGGAATACATGGAAGCTGGCTCTTGAAAGCATGTTTTAGTAACTTGCTTTTCTCTGATTCCTTTCCCTCCTTGTTCATAGTCGCAATCCGTTACTTCTAGGGAACAGAAAGAGAACCTAGTTTCCAGTGACTTAGGTGTTAACTGAAGATGGCTGTTGTACTGAAACTCAGACTTACACACTACTAGTCACCTTAAGTGCCCCTGTTAGGTTTTTCTTTCCTCACAGGCACTTGAACTGGTTGGAATTGCTTCTTATTAAAGGCAAAATCACTGACCATGACTTCAGATTCCTTATTTTCCTCCCTTGTGCTGATATCGTATGATTCTGTATTAAGTCAATAAAAGGCCCTTTCCTTAAGGGCCTCTACTGCTGCTTCCTCACCGTATGGGCTTCATGTTAAGAAAGAACTCTCTGTAACTCTCTGTTATTTGGGCTAGTTGTGCTTGGCATGTGTCTTCTCTGCTCTCTTTCCTGGCTTGATCCGAAGGCATCCTATGGGAAAAGTCTTCTCTAAACTTGAAAAAAAACTGTAGCAGTTACTGAATGGTAACGAGGTTGTTTTTGTAAGCTGAGGCTTTCACAACTGTCTGCCCAAAACTGTCGGTTTTGCTTTAAAGAACAACAACCGGCAGACCAAAAAAGACAGCAAGACACTGTCTTGCTCTCTTTCAAAGTCAACTGGGCAACAAATATACAGAATATAGAGAATGTGTAGTGTAGTGCATGTAGGAGTAAGGTGAACGAAGCAGGGTGGGTGTATGTCCTCATTAGTAGTTCTGATTTATCATGTTCTAACTAACCAGTTCATAGTCTCTCAGCTACCTCCTGCCGTGAAGGACTACTTACTTAGGCAATTTACCATGAATGTGCCCAGGAGGAAAAAAAAAAATAAAACTACTATGCAAGCGGAAAATAAAGGGAGCCTAACTTAAAGTTGTCACACACTTCCCAGATTTCCTGTGAAGTCTGAGCAGCTTTGACCCTACGCTGGATCCTCGTCCAGCTCCCATGCTTGAATCACTGCTGCCTGAGGCTCTTAGACTCCTGCTGCTACCCCACCGTAAGGAAAACTCAAACTTCCATAAATCTTCTTGGAGTGACTTATTGCTCAGCCTGCATCAACATCCAGTTCTGGAGCTGTGTTGGGTACCAAAAAAGAGCTTCTTCCATATGAGAAGCAGATCTCATCCAGCTCCAACATGTTTTCTACGTTCATTTTCTGAGGAAAAAGCAGCTAATGGTTCAGAGCTTATGCTAGTGTCAGAGAGGGGTAGCCCTAACCAAATCCTAACCCTCCCATTACAAATCCCTTGGTGTTCCTTCCAGTGAAAACTTATCCAGTGTGTTTTCCTTTGGACTCTAAAACTTTGCTACCTCTGGTTCACACAGCAAAGTGTTTCAATATTTCTGACACTCTCCTTTAAAATACTGAGATGCCGGGAAAACTTGCTCTCCAAATAATCTCGGCATGAAATGCTGCTTAGGAGAGACTATGCTGCTTTGGCAGGAGGACATTCTGGCTTCCAAATTCCGCTTGTAGGTTGGCTGCAAATACTGCTGACATAGCAAGACTATGCTATGTTCATATGCACATTCCAGCTGTAAAGAGAAAGAGAGGGAGAGAGGTAAATGAGGACTGACAGTTTGAATTGGTGCATGTTTGACTAAAAGTATATTACGCTCAATGGCCATAAAATCGTTTTTGGAAAGTGAAGAGAAACCCTGTTCTGATTATTTCTACTTTTTAATTTCAGAATTTCTGTCTCTTTACATGTTGTCCTTCTAGACTGTCAGTCGTCACTTCAGGAATATTCCTGTGAATGAGAAAGAGACGCTTGCATATTTCATCTATATGGTGAAGAACAACAAGAGCAGGCTGGATCAGAAATCAGAAGGTAGCAAGCAACTAGAATGAAGATTAACAAGACTTGGAATAAGAGGGACCTTGAAGGAACAGATGGTATTGTGCATTTTAGGTATATAAAAACTGTTGAAGTATATTGTAAATTTTTTTTAAAATGCAGTAAGTCTGGATGACAGAAAAAATACAGACATTCTTATCAGGAGTATTTGAAAACATGTGCCCAGCGTGTTTCTGAAGACTTCTTCCCCTCATTTCAAAGTCGTGTTGGAATAAAGAAATGAGGATAATGGGGAAACCAAGTAAATCTGTAGGACTGTGGAGTTTGTCAACTCGGTGTTTTAAACCATTTCTGGAAATCTGCATCTCAGTGCAATTCAGATCACAGATGGAATTTTTTCACTGAATTCAGACTGCATCACAAACCACCGTGCAGTTTGTCTTGGCGCAGGACTGGAATAGCGGCAGAGATAAAATTCATTATTGAGGTGCATGGGTCAGAAGTTTGTCTGAAGCTCGCTCCCCACCTACACATGCTCTGTCTTGCCTTGAGTCAGTGCTTCAAGTCCCAAATTTCTACAGATGCTCCAGCTCACCAAATCTACTCCAGTGAACACTACTTGACTAGTCTGAAATTGATTTTTTTTTTTTTTAACCATTTTTCCTCCTGCCCCCTTCCGACATGGATGCCAAATTTGACTAGTCTGAAATTGATTTTTTTTTTTAACCATTTTTCTTCCTGCCCCCTTCCGACATGGATGCCAAACAGCTCTCTGCAATCTCTTTTTGTAATTTCTTTTATTTAAGAACTCACTAATTAATTGTCTGTAAGCATTTAAACATTTCTGCATTTCCTCAGAATGTGGTGTTAAGGCAAATACAGCTTATTTGCTGGGTTTGATCATGTTGGTAGAAATGCTCATTTAATTCACTTACACGTATTTCCCTTGTATTCAAGGCTCAGTGATGGTAGGTGAAACAATGGCTTAAGACATCTGTCTCTTAATCTCTGTGTCAGATCAGGTATCAATCACAAGTGATGTGAATTTTATACTGAAGCTAGTCTTTAGCAGGTGTCACAAAACTGCTGTGTGGATTAGTGGGCTCGGCAGTCTCTGTTTAGGATAAAGCAGACTTATGCTAAAGGCTGTAGCACCGTAACCGGGGTAGTGAACTGACTGGAGCATGATGCATTTCATCTGTCTTTGCAACGGGCAAAAAGTATCGAAGCACGTGCCTTTTGTGAGCATTACGTGTGCTTTCGTAAGAGCTGTGTGAGTGGAGGGTGGCATGCTGGTGCTCTTTAACTGGGCGCTGTAGGAGGAGATCGCTCTGATTTTGTTATTTAAAGCCAAGGTGTCCTTACAAATAACACAGTGGTTATTTTGGCAAAAGGAGCTTATAAAAGCGTTCATCGTGACTGACTGTTCTCCAGTGACCTCAAATTCTATTGAAGGGGATCTCGTGATTTAAAGCACCACTCTGTTTCTTTGCTGTCCTAACCAATGTCTCCCTTCTGTTACAAGATGCCAAGACTCCGCATAGAGAGTATATTCTCAACAAGCCTTAATCAACGAACTGAACAGTAGAAAACTTTGGCTAGCGTTTTGTCAATGGCAGGTTTTAATATTACAAAAATGGATGAAGCTTTGTTGAAGAGCTAAACACACAGATCACGATCCCAGCTTAGTACTGCATCATGTTTCGTAAGGCATGAAGGGTTCGCCTAGTGAAGCTCTTGTTGAAGCTCTCCCAGGGTCTCTTTAAAAATCAAGTCACAATTTAAAGCAAGCTGTTCACGTCAGCTCTGAAGTGTTTGCTAATACTCCAAAAACATGTTCAACTAACTTCAACATGTCTAAGTCCTGTGTCATAGGCAGAAATACTCTGTTGTGGTACACGTCCCATTTGTGAAGTTTTGGGGAGTGTGATTGTTTCAGCATTTCCTTGTTCGATTCAGTATGGATTTTAAGAACATCAGCCAGGAGAGAGGTTCAAGGAATGAGGAGTGAATGTCTTGCGTCGGTATTCCATGAATGTTTAAAAATTTCCTAATTATACTGGTCCTTTCCTTATTGAAAGGATGGAGTAATTCCCACATCAGTCAACATGATCTGGCTTCTCTCATTCAGGACAGATAGCTAAAAGGGTACGTTCTCTTGACTTGCATGTTAATCTTCAAAATGCTCATGTAATCAGAGGATATTACCAAGGGAAAATGAGGTTCTGAGTTGAGAGGGTTATGCGTCATTGTAACTTCTAGACCAAAACTGTAAAAATGTAGTTTGTTTGGGGTTTACTTTTTTGTTGTTGTATTTTGTTTTGTTTTATTTCTAAGAGTAAATAAATCTGTTGGGGTGTTTTAGCAGCCAGCAGCAGAATGATTCTTTTCAAGGAAATATGGTGGCAGGTTCCATCTGTTCAGGTGTATTCACTGGAATGCTTTTGTGCAGAGGTGGTATCCAGGAAACTTTTTTTTTTTTTCTGAAAATAGTCAATTGATGTGAAATGTGATCCTTGTTGGTTTCACTCTTAAAGCAATTATACTTTTTTGAAAAAATTCTTAGTGAGGTGTGATGATGAAGAGATGTTTACCAGCCATTAGCAGTTGTTTATAAGGTGGAAAGCTTGGAGGCAAGACACCAAAGAAACAGAAGAATCTTTGGCTGTCGGACTCCGTGGCCTTATAAACCCTTGCAAATGCCTTATTACCTTGTTCTCAACTTAGCTAGAGCAAAACGCCTTGAGCAAAAGAAAGCCGATGTCTTGTTGGAAGGGTTAGCCGCTTTATGGCTCCCATGCTATAAACTGAAATCACACGTCAATTCAGTAGCAATATCCATGTTCAGGGTGCCTGTGATTCTTGAAAAGCATTTAGTGTCTAATAATCAGAAAACACAACAATGCAATTGTCGTTCTGTATAATACCATTCTGTGTATTTGATTCCTTATGCTGCATGCCAATTAAAAAAGGCTTTCCAACTTTTTGTTTTAAACTTCAAAGTAAATGTGTTTGAACCTCACACTTGTGAAGCCATGAGGTGGGACATTTTCTCAGCACTTTTGGATGGGACTTGTTGGAAAGGTGGAAGACCCAAATCGCTTTGGCTGGTATGATAAGATTTTTTTGGGGTTTTTTTTTGCCTTCTACGTTTTGCTTTTCACAGATGGGCCTTAAATTCTGTCTAGCTTTGAACCATGGAGCACAAGCCTTGGGGGCATGGAGGATGACCAGATGTCATCTTCCATTTATAATAGTGGAAGCTTATTTATTACAAGCCTGCGTTGGTGACATTCACCCTGGGGCAGAGGAATCATCTTTGAAGCCCTCCAGCCATTATATAGCCTAATTCAATTACATAGCCAAATTAATTCTCATTGAAGAGTTGCATTAACTTCATTAGACTTCTGAATAGATCCAAAGCCATTAGTATGAAATCCAAATAATGTGGAAACATCTCTTCCGGGGTTAATTTCATCCTGTATGCTGACCCTCTGCTCACTTTAAGTGAAGAAGAAGAAGAAATTATTGCTGGTAGTTACTGGCTTGAGTTCAACTGAAGGAAGTTGGAAGCATGCAAAGACTTGGGTCGGTGGCAATCTGATGGCTGAAAAGTGCAAATATATCCAAGGAAGCTGTGTTAGAATGCAGTTTTTTTTAAATTTCTGCATCTCGAAGAATGTTGTATATCAACCTGAAGTAAACAATTGCATTAAAAGCTAATGTTTTTTTGCCAGGCACTTTAGATGCTCAGCCTGAGAAAAGCAGAGCGGGCAGGTTTGTACCACTTGTCCCCAGTACTCTGGTGTCCCAGTTTTCCCTAGAAATGTGGCTGTAAACCACTAGATAGCCTGGAGTGCAAGACTTGACCAAAACATACCAAGTCTGGCATTTAAAGTTAGTCTTAAGTGCAAGCTGGCTTCAGAGAGGCTTTGAAATCAAGAGCCAAAATAATCCACAGTAAGTGCAAGTTTTCAAGCGGGTCATGATGGCACAGAGAAGAAGAAATAGGATGTGGCCCACAGAGGGACTGAACAAAACACGCTTCCACAGTTAGCAACGTGGAGGAAGATTTGTTCTGTGTTAGCTCTTGTAATGGATGTTTTATGAGAGGGGATGAAGGGGGGAGCTGTGCACTTTACGTCTTTTGGTTGAGCCAAATGTAAATACCAATGGGAGATCTTCAGCAGTAACTGCAGTCGGAGGGGAGAGAAATGGTCTGCTGGGGGACTGTTTATTTAAATTCGCAGATCGTTACGCTTCCCCAGAGCACTAGAGTCACTTTGCCTCTACAATTTAAAAGAGTGGGTAATAGGAGCTAGCCTCCTGTACAAAAGGAGTCCTTGTACTGCCCAGAGTATTGACTGAAGAGTCCCAAAGGTGAAGGAATGTTATTGATGCCTCACTCCCCTTGTCACTGATGCCCTTTAGCCACCTCTAGCTTATCAAGTTAGGGAGTTTTCATTTTCCACTTTCAAAGTGCAAATGAACTGTTACGATGTAAGATACTCCTTGCACTTTTCACAGCTGTCCCTGGTCTCGCGTTTTTGACTTGCCTGTGAACACATCTGTTTGGAATGAATTAAATGGTTGAAGAAAGTGTGGGGAGAGGAGGGGGGCTCCTGCCTTAAACCTGAACTTCCCTTGTGAGCAACTCTGCAGGCCATCCTGTACATCACCAGGCTCCAGGAGCCTCTTACTTAGCTGAGCCCTAACGGGGCTGGGTTTGCTCGTGTCCCAGCCGCAGCTCTCTGCTCCCCAGCTACAGTGCAGGGGAGGGGAATAGCAGGTAACTTGCAGAATGGCTTGGAGTTTTAGCGGGCTTACTGGGAGAGAAAAACTGTGTTCCCTCTTCTGTTTCTGGCCTCCATGTGTTGTGCTGATCTTATGCCAAATGTTTTGGACACCTTGTATTTTTAACTGTGTAATATAGCTGTGTATTGTTAAAGCAACTTAGTAACTTATAGCAAAAACTGTAGAACTCATTTCTCTGAGGTGTAGGAAATGTCCTGCTTCCACTGTGTATGAGACTAACTCTGTACTGTCTGACAAAGATAAAATGCTGAATTTCACTTTAATAAATGATCTATCTAGCAACAAGGCCTACATTCCCTTCTGTTTGCCTTTCTGCCCTTAGCACTGTTGGCTCCAGAGCCAATGGAGTTTTGCTTTGCACGGATGTTTTGTGCCAGGCTTCTCTGATTCACTGTCACTTCCCACCCACCTCCCTAGGGCTGAAAATATTGCAGACATGGAGGGGAGAATGGCGCTGCTGACTAGGATATGTCAAGCCTGAAGTAGAAAACTCAGGTGATGGGATATTTTGTGACAAACACGTGTAGGTTGCGTGGATGCAAATCATAAAGTCTTTTGAATGCAACAAAAAAAAGTCCTCACAAGAAAGATGGATGTCGTTGGAGAGCCACGTGACCTTGCATTTTGGGGAGTGTTGGGCTTTTCTATGATAGGGATATTTTGTTTTCCCCTCTATCATAAACGTGTCAATCAAGTGCAGTGTCTCACTTCATTCATGTTTCTTAATTAATCTTCTTTATGTCTAGTTCAACCCTGTGCTTCTGCTTCCTTCTCAAGTACACCCTTGGCTACGTTTCATGCGTGACTTCTAGCTCCTGTTGTCCAGAGTCGAAGCTGCATGCCCAGCTGACAAGGTGGGTGCTACTCCAGAGCAATGCTGACATGTAGCATCCCAATGTTCAATCAGTTAAGCTACAAGATCCTTTTCCATGTAGTGCTTTGTTTCATTTCTTTTTCCCATATTGCTCTTCCTCCTGAACGTGAGCCTTATAGGCAAAGGTGCCTCGCGTTTTTGCTGCAGTGAGGAAGCGAGGGATGCCAGAAACTGGAGTTTGAATACCTGTTCTCCTGAACCTTGTCATGGTATTTCCTAAGGCTCTGCTGGCACCCTCTGAGGCATGCTTTAGCTTTGATTTTTAACCAGGAAAGAGATCGTAGTGTAGCTTTTCAGACACTTGGGTTCTCACGGAGGAGGATGATAGGATGTTGAGAGCTTTGCACTCAAAATACATTACCTGAATTTATCACTGTCAAATTAAATTGCACTGTTGATGTGCGGTAAGGATTTGCACAGATAATTCTCCCTGAAACAATCCCACGTCATCTTCTGTATCCTTATTCCTTGCTGCTGTCCTACAGCCAACTGACCTGTCTGCTTATCATCGTTCAATTCATGGCAAGGGATAAAATACCCTCTGGGAGGAGGGTGGCAGCTTGTGTTGCCATTGTATGGTGCCTTCCAGCCATGCAGAACGTGCCCATTTATATTGCCAGTGATGCATGCAGGAGACACTTGGTCCCCCCTGTCCGACATCCCAGGGTATTAGCTTTCAGTAGCAAGGGAGTGGGAACTGCAGGGAAGAGACCTTAGAGAGCCGAATGTGTTGATGCTTTACTAAGCTGTGAGAAACAATCAATGATAAGTAGTTATGTTGGAGCCTAATATTCTCTTAGCTAAAGACTGACCTTGATGTATTGGAGAGCTGGGGGAGACTGAGCTGGCACGTCAGAAACAGACCCAAATGTCCTCAGTGCCTGCATTTGTGGACGTGTCTGGAGGCCTTTGCAATGGTCCGGGATCTTTCTGTGCGAGGCAGCATGCTGCCATGCTACAAGAGTGTTGTCCCTGTCAGCTGAAGAAGGCAAGACCAGAGGTGACACAGGCGGGCACCACGAAACAAAGGAGCAAGGGTAGATCACTTCACAGGACATCACCTGCATGTTGTCAAGCTTTTTTAGGAGGTATCAGGGAAAGGTCTTCAGGTGAGGACGAGGGCAGCATACCCCAGCGGAAGGGGAAAAGCCGTGTCGCTTACATTCCCAAATTGGTGAGTGTGGGCTCTTCTGCCAGCACAGTGAGAAGGTGTCCTGCCCAGGGAGGAATGGCAGAAGGGCCAAAGGAGGACAGCTGTAAGCAGCAACCTGTTGTGCAGGTGCCATCCTTAGCATGAGAGGATATAATGGGAACTCCGATGATACAAATAAACTCTGCCAGTTAATCTGTTATTTGTATTGGCTAATGAATAATGCTGCTTAATCTCATGTTTGCTCCCTGCCAAGAAACCCACAGAAGATTTCAAGCTCAAACCAAGGAGGAATCTGCTCAGCCTTTTTAACATACTCACACTGAGAAACTAAGCAACCAGCAGATTGATCGGATGGGCCTAAAACTGCACGTCCCTCTCTCCGCTCCCTGCTGCCGTGCGAGGGCAGTGTTAGCTCAGTAACCCGGGTGGTGGGTGCTCTGCAGCTGCACCTCTGAGCCCAGGGCAGCTGGCTGGGGGACCAGAGCCATTTTCCCATCCCCAAGATGCCTCCTCGGTAGGAGCTGGCTGTACTTGTCGGATACCGGAAGCGGGATTATGCTGTAGTGGGATGTGGACATCATAAAAATGGTTTGGTTTGGGTTTTTTTTCCCTGGTTGGACATTGAAATTGAACACGTCCGATTCTCTGCTTGAGTCGTCCTACAGCCTCCTTGCAACATTGATGGAAACCAGGCTTCGGTTTCTCTGCTCCCCAGCAGAAAGGGCAGCGCAGAGGACTGGGGAAAAATGCGAATGTGTATTTAATGGTGTTATGTTTTAGAGATGTGGTTGAGCAGGCTGAGTGTGCAGGGGAGAGCCTTAGGGCTTGCTTTTCTTCTTTTTTTTTTTTATTTCCCCTATATCCAATAAGGGATGACCGCATGGCTCTGCCAGCACCCAATCTCACTTTGCCAGGAGCTGGAGCCGATTTCACATCTCTTATCCTTGCATGCAGTGTTGGCTTCTTCCCTAAGTACCTCAAAGCCCCCTAATGTGCTTTTACTTAATTCTTTTTGGAACTTTTTCCAAGATCTGTTCCCTTCACGTATCGCAGGAAGTACTCCGTGATCACTGCGGCATCCTCAGCAGGGAGCACCCTGGCGCCTGTGGGGAAGAGCAGAGACTGCAAGACAGGAGAAGAGGGAAGTGTCAGGTAGCTGAGATGGCTCTGCTGCTTCTCCTACACACGTATGGACTGCCAGGGACCAGAGAGCACAATCATGGGCACCGCATTAGCAAGCTCACTAACCCAGGTTGCGGTCGCAAAGCAGAGAGGAGGCTCTGAGTCCAAGAGGTGTGTGAGCGTTGCCTGTGTCTCTTCCTGGTCTTGACGCCTGTGTGGGCAAGTCTGTCTTTAGGAAAGGGAAGGTGGTGGGTTGTATCCAGTGCTCCTGGAGCCAGCTTGTTCTAGCTCAGTCTGGTGTCTGGGTTTTCGCCAGCTCCTGCGCCTGTTGAGCAGACGGCAGGCCAGCAGCCATGGCCTGGCAGGCAGCCCTGAGCAATCTGATCTCCCGTTTGGTGGCTTGCCGTCCAAACTGTAGGCCCTTCATTGGGCTGGGGTGGGAAAGACAGGCGCCACATCCAGCCCCTCGGCATGAAGATGTTGGGGGAATAGCCCGGCACCTTCCCAGCTCTGCCCGGCCACAGAGGGCAACCAGGATCCCTTTAGGTGTCCCCAAACAGGATTGTTCAGCTCTTCCCTGTCCAGTCTGCCCTGGAAGGATCCCTGTACCCTGCAGGTTGATGTTCTCGTTGTTCCATGCCCACCTTCCCGACAGAACCAGGTTAATTTTTTCCTGGAATTTCCACTTGTTTACTGGCCGTAAGCCCTGACCCTCATGTAAAAAGTGGAGCCCCTGGTGCACTGCTGCTGGCCTCGATTCACCTCAGCCCTCTGTGTCTCTATTTTCCTGGGGATAAAAAGCAGGTTGAAGGTTCTTCACTGGCGCAGTGATAGCACTGGGTACAGACAGGACTTTTCTTACTAGACTAGCACAAACTACAGCGCCAGGGAGCTGCTGTCCCTCACCAGGCTATTCCTTGTCCTCCTCCCTTCTCTCCTTTTCCTGATCCTGTTTTCCCCACTCCTCCCTGCCCCTCATCTGCTCCAAGTCCTTCATGTACTCCCCAAAGCAGGCCAACAAAGGTATCTCCACAAGGACCTTCTCACCCCTTTATGCCACATTCCTAGAAATAGGATCCTAAAAGGGCATTGGGTGTGGGATTGCGTGGGTTTAGCTCTAAGCAGCTGGCTTGGTTCCTGGACATTTTGTAGGGTGAGTTGTTGAACACAGCAGCCCAGGCTCGAGTTTGAGTCAAACTGATGAGTTTCAGTGCAAAGCCTGTCCTTCCACTCTCCATCAGACACAGGACCAAAATACTGGAAGCTGAACAGTGAAGGTGAGCAGAGGAGGGAGTTTCAGGGTTGACACAAGCTTTATGCACTAGCTCAGACTCGTAACTCCTTCCAGCTTCTCAGTTTGGGAAGGAGCTCCCAGCCGAGGCAATTAAACCAGCCTGCTCTGGCCCCCACACTCCCCCCCCCAGCCACTCCTGCGGGTCAGTTACAGGCCATGAGAATTTTGTCAAGGTAGCTGCAGTCTAAGGAAAAAAAATCCCTTTTCCTCTCAATTCCTCAGCTTTCAGCCACTAGTGACGCCATAAATTCCCCTACTTCTCTGGTTACTGTAAAGTCTTTCGGGGTGGTCAGGACCTGAATTCCTCATGCAAAAGAACAAGCAGGGAAAAAGGAAACTTTGCAAGCAAGGACCTTCCCCGCCTCAGGGATCCGTCGCAAGGAATCGGCGAGGCTCAAAGCGCATGCTCTTGCCTTGCAGTCCCCCGGCTCAAGGCTCTTGGGTAACTGCCTGTCTCGCTCTCCTCTCTCCGGTAAATATCCTCCCACCAGCCTGTGCTTCCCGCTTGTATTCCAGCAGGTCCGTCTGGCTCCTCGGCCCCTCTGATCTCCAGGCTCCTGGAGCTGCGGCAGCTCCAGGTTTGCTATTGCACTTTAGCTTTGAAGTAAGCAGGAGAGACAGAGCTTGTCCAGCATCACACAGCTATGGAGACGGCACAGAGCCCTGCTGAGCAATGTGCCCGGCTGTTTTTACCCCCTGCCCTGAGCTGTACGGCACTGATCCTCCACCAGATAGCTCCAGCTCCCAGCCAGCTTCTGTCCTGGACCTTAAATCCAGCTGCCACATGGGACACAAGTGAGCTGCTGTGCCACCCCACACCATCCAGCTTCACCTGAGGGCTATGCTGAGATGTTGTGGGAGAAGATCAGCGGGAAATTGGCAGCCAAGTGTCATCGCTGCCAGAGAAGATGCTTGCTAATGGGATTGCTCCACCACTGAGCAGGACAAGGATGGGTCATTCTGCAGAAAGCCATGGTGAGCACCTTTGCTAACCCCACACCAAGCATGTGAGTCTTGTGAGAGGAGTAAATACTCACTTCTCCCAACACCCCGCACTGGGGAAAGGGCCTTCATGGAGTGGAGCAACAAAGGTTGGCTTTGAAGAGGTAGGGGCATGGGGTGGACAGTGAGTTTGTCCATTATTTGAAGGATGGTCTTGGGAAGGTTGGCCCAGGGTGCAGTGCTCTTGGTCTTCTCCCAGCACAGGCAGCTGCATGGAGAAATACACCCCGGGCAGAGCTCAGTGCTAGCAGACCCAAGCAGGGACAGCCATAGGGGTGAAAACCCAGAGAATTTGGATTTGTTTTAAAAAATAAAAGAAAAGAAAGAAAAAAAATGTTGGAGCCTTCATCTGCCATGTGGGTCCAGAGTCTTCCCATGCTTGGACATCATTTCTACAGCTGTGGATTGGAAATGCATCTTCTCTTTAGATGGGTCTCAGAATCACATGACTCCAGAAGCATGGAGATTGGAGGAAGAACTATTGCATGTCATGAACTTTGCAGCTGAGGGGCCTCTGTTGGACAGAAAACCTTCCCACCTGAGTGGGAAGTTCCCAGGAGACAGTCTGACTTGGGAGCCAGCAACTGGGCTGAGAGGCTCCGAGTGTTGGGAGAGGATCAAAAAGCTCCCCTGGCAGTAAATCTTTCACCTGCCATGTTACTCACTGGGGCTTGTGGCCATTCCTCTGAGGTCGGCCCTGGGTCAGGATTTCTCCTGTCTCTTTAGCCCCCAAACCTGGAGATTTTTGTCTTATCTTTGACGCCATCTTGACACCGAAAACAAATTATGGCCCAATTACCCTTAGTGAGAGGGGCTGGGGCTACCTTAAATGGCCAGAACTATCAGGCACTTCCTTAAGAGCAGGTAATTAGAGTGGGGTGCAGGGTGGGGAGGGGGGCAAGGACTAGGGGAACCCCTGGCATGGGGCTGCCCTTGCCCCCCTGCTTGGCATGGCAGGAGGGGACATCCCATCCAGCCCCATCCCATCCCATTCTGTCCTACTCACTCTGGCCCAGCCGTGCTGCACCCTTGGGGTCTGAAGAGGCCAGAGCTGCGATGGGCCTCCCTGCTGCTCCCCACCAGTGCCGTGTCTGGGGGGTTCCCCCTGCCCCATGCCTCCCCCAGCCTTGTGTCACCAGCTGGGGCCAGGCCAGAGAGGCCCCGTGACGGGAGGCAGCAGCCCTGGCCCTGGCCGTGACCTTCGGGGCGACCTTGAGCAAGTCCCTGCCGGGGCCGGGGACCGGCTGCGCCTCTCATCCTGAGCAGGGACATTTCCGTGCTCACCCCAACTCACCTCACCTCCAAGGAAACAGCGAGCACCAGCATCACAGCCGAACTGCCGTAACAACTGACCTGAAACTTAAAAAATTTCTTTTTCTTCCCCTCTTTCAGTGACATTAAAATGTGCTCTCCTGCTGTGTGCCTGGGTGTTTCTTGCCCAGGGTTGTGCTGCCCGCCTGAAACCAGCAGCCGTTTTGGGGGCCGACACGTGCTGAGCTGGATCCCAGCCCGCAGCCTGGACCGTGCTCATCTGGGGGCTGCTGCCCGAGTCTCTCTGCCTGGGGAAGGTGGTGTCGGGTGCGTGCGGAGCCAGGTTCCTTCCAGGATCCAGCCCAGGGAGGAGGGAAGTGGAGCTGTGCAGAAATATCGGACGCTCCCCTGGCCTTGCAGGTTTGCTCCCGGTACCCTCACACTGCTGGGTGAGCGGGTGGCTGGGGCTGGGTGTTTCTTTCCCTTTTTTTGCCTTTTTTTTTTTTTTTTGTCAGATTGGTATTTTATTTGGCTCCATACTGTCTACCGAGCTGTCCAGTGTAACCCTTCCCTTGCTGCTTCTGAGATAAGAATAGGCGCTCCCCTGAGATCAGATAAACAGGCCCATAAATACCTACAACAACAACAAGCAGGGTCTGGGCTTGGCAGGAAGGGAAGAAAAAAAAAGGGGGGGGGGGCAAAAAAGGAGCCAATTCTTTGCACGCCAAACCCCAGGGGTGCAGAGCGTGGGGTGGGAAGTGCCCGACAGCCCCTCTGCCCCCAGTGCTTGCCCCCTTGGCCAGGCAGGGGGGCGAGGGGCTGGGCAGGGCAGGCAGCAGGGTGGCCGGGTCCCCTCCACCGTCCCTCGTGGCTGGATTCCAGCGGCAGGGGACACGGCACGTATGATGCTGCCCTGGGGCCACACGATCCCTGCGTGCGTGTGCTTCTGTCCGGGCAACTGCAGACTCAAGCCTGCGTGCCGGGAGCATGCTGCTTCCCAACAGCATCAAGTTCACGGCAGGGTCGATCTGTAGGTGTGTGCAGGGCCACCTCCCCTGGCCGATGAGCTAGGTTCTCAGATGGCCAAAAATTCAAAGCTGGTGGCCAAACTGTTCTTCTTTCACCCGGGTTTGGTGCAGCCGGCACCGGGAGCCCTGCCGCTGCCTGTCGGAGGCTGCCAGGACGCCTCTCCCAGCCGCTCAGGTTTGCTGCCTGAGGAAGAGAGGCTTCCCCTGTGCAGGGCTCCTGCCCCCACCCCCCAGCTCCTCTCCCTTTGGGGGTGAAGGGGGTGACCCCATCCTAGGCTGGAACCAGTGCTGAGCTCAGCATGGACATCCCTTCCCGGCCCCGCAGCAGCGGAGCCACTTGTGCGGTGCCCAGGTGGGGACAGAGCTCACTGCTTGCAAATACACCCCCTCCAAAGCATGCGTTTTGGGGAGTAGTGAAGCCCCGGGGTACAGGAAATGTTTAGCGCTTTTTTTTCACCCACCCTCCCCCAAAACACCGAGCCAATCTCGCAGGAAAATCCCCTTGCTGGGCAGGGAAACCCTCTGCAGCCGTGGACACGGAGAGCGTTTTCACTTGCAAAATCACAAAGGAGCAACAGAGGCTGGCACTGGGGACACCTTTCCCAGAAGTTTGCGGCCAGCAGGTACCATCACCAGAAACTTGGGGTAAGAAAAGCAACAATCCTGCGGATGCAGGCAGAGCATCGCCCCAGCTGTGCGGGGTGCCCCCTCCCCAGAAGCAAAGCTGGAAACCCATAAGAAAAAAACCAACAGAGGATTTTGGTGGGGTAGGGAAAGGTCCCCAGGCTGCAAACGATGCTCCCGATAGAGCCTGGTGTACGGAGGACACAGACTCCTGTGCAGTCCCCCCTGCCTTAGGCAGCAGAGCAAGTCCCAGGTCCCCGTTTAACCCTTTCTCTCATCCAACGCCGAGGGGCAGCCCCGACTGGTGCCGTATGGATACGGGGTGGCACATGTAAACAGGATTGGGGCTGGACACATTTATGGGGTGCTGGATTACAGTGTTAGTGATGGCATGGGAGCTTTTCCGTAAAAACCCAGCCCTTTAAGGGACTGTGAAATTTAGCCATAAAATGGGATATTTGGGGCTGATTTTCTGTACATTTTTTTTTCTTTTTTTTTTTTTTCCTTGAATGCATTTCGTTTTAGAAATGCCCCGTTCTAGCTTCACTCATGGACTCAATGCCGTGCTAAACTTTTTATAGCCTGAACAAAACAATACCACTGCAGGCACTGCTCTGCTCAGGCAGCCAATTTTCATCTCAGCCTCCTTCAAAGACATCAGAAAACAGATCTGGGGCTGGGAAGGCAGCCGTGCAGCGGCTCCGAAGCGAGGGAAGGCTGATTCACGCAGCCTGATCGTTCTGCGAGTTTTAATTACTCCAGCCATACTCCCCAGTGTTTGTGTGCCCATCCGTCTGTATTTGTACACACGCACAAAGTGGTTATAAAACCCGAGCTGTTTCCCCACGGGTGAGCTGGTGTATTTTTGGTGTGTGCGGCTGCACAGGCACAGATTGATCAACGTGTCAGCGATTTACGGATGTTGCATCATTATTTCTATACCTTTAGTCGCAAGCAAAAGCTTGGTTTAAAATAGAAAATTTAATGTTCCCAGCTGAGCCCTCAGATTAACCCTACAATAACACACGACTCTTCCCCGTCTCGGTTTTCTTTGCCCCGGCTAAGCGTTAGGGTTTATACTGGCGTCTCTGGGAACGGCGGCGTGGCCAGGCTGGGAATGCAGGATCGGGCCCTGAGCCCATGCACGCACGTCTTGGAAGCCACCCTTCGGTAACAGAGCTGTGTGCGCACAGAATAAAGGAATGAGGATTCGGCTTTAATTATTAAGGATTATTAAGGATTTATGCCTGAGAGACAACAGAGACGACTTTGGGCTGCGTGAGCGTTGGTGTGTCTGAGGCTGGTGGTATCTGTCGTGTTCAGATGGTGAGGAGGGGACGTTGCTCCTTCCAAAAAGTGGCCAAGGCAGCGCCTAAGAGGGGATCCCTCAGAGAAAGTGCTGCCGGTGCCAGAGCCATGCAGGGGAGTCGCCTGGGCAGAGAAGGGGAGCCGAGCCCTGGTTCTCTGCGTGGCAGCAATAAAACTGGGGCTCCACAGCTCTACGGTGCTCATGCCATCCAGCTGCTGTAAAGGCCTGATCCTGCCATCCTTCCCCAAAGCAAACACAAGTCCGGTCCCTCTAGCAGGTCTCCTGGGTCAGGAGGCAAGGGGTTGTAGGGCAGGGGCAGCGTTTGTGCCCTGGGGCAGACTGCGGGTACACATTCGCAGAGCCCTGCCAGCTCCTGGGGTGAGCAAGCACAGCATAAAGAAGTCCCAGAGGATCCTACGGAGCTGCCCGAGCCCCACGGGAGGGAATTCCCTCGCATGGATCAGCCCCACAGCAGGGCACCGACTTAAGGGGCATCCTTAATCCCGCAGCACCCCTCGCCCCTGCGGGCAGGGC